TTGCAGAGCGGCCTCCAGGCCGCTGAGGCGCCACTGTAGGGCTCCCGCCGGCGCGTGGCGTGCTCTCCACCGCCCTCCGCTTCTCGCGCAACCTGGGCACGCACCTCGGCCACTTCAAGCACGTGGTTCTCCACCAGCAGCACCGCGCTCGCCTGCTCTTTGCGCTGTTCCACCAGCTCCACGATGCGGTTCCACCTGCCCAAGGGAAGGAGGGTGGCTCGAGGGGGACAGGGCCGCCTCGTGGGTGTGGAGGGCCCACGGACCCAGGGTAGAACCCAGCCACTGTGTGACCTTGGAAAGACTTTATATTACGGAGCCCAGTTTCTGCCTGTGTAAAAATGGAACCCTACCCGCACATTTGCTTAGAGCAGCGGTTCTCAAAATGAAATCTGAGCGAGGTCAGACTATCTTCATAACAACGCTAAGACGCTATCTGCCTTTGCACTCTCATTGTCTCCAGGGTGCACAGTGGAGTTTTCCAGAGGCTGCAGGACAAAGACCCAGCCCGGAAGCAGACCCGAGAACTCAGCTGCCTTCTTTTAAGCCACATTAAAGAGATTTGCAAAAATGTCAAACAATGCCATTCTTCTCACTATACCTTTTGTTTTGAAAAATAGCTTTTTTCATGAAAAAATTAACGTAATAGGTTTAGTATTATTTTTAAATGACAATATTTTTAAATTACTCAATTTATTTACTGAGCCACACCAACTGGGCATTAATTTCTAATATAGTAAATATTGATAGCTATAACCCACTAAATTAAATTAGTTGGGGTTAAGACTCCAAATAACTTAGTTTAGTGGGTTTTAGCGTGTAAAGAGGGTTATAGAGTGTAAGAGTGTAAAGAGGTTCTGAGACTGAAGAGTCCACACACCATCAGTCATCTCAGCTAAGACATCAGCCCTATGGGAAGTGCTAGCTGATGAAATTAGATAATATGTTGGGTTCAATGAAAAGTAATTGATCAGGTACCATGAACCAGGTGCTGAGGACAGAGTGATGTAAAAGGAAAATCTGTTTTTATTCCAAAATAAATTAATGGAAAAATTGTGTCCTCGAGCAAGTGATGACATTGTTTTGGCCTGAGTTCCCCTTCATAGACGGTGTGTGGTCCAGGTTAAACGCATAGGATCCTAGCAGGGTGGCCTGGAGTCAGATCTGAGATGTGTACCCTTGGCTAGTAACCCTCTCTATGCCTCCGTTTCCCCATCAGTAAAATGGACACAATCATAGCATAGCTCCTGCCTCACAGGGGTGTTGTGAGGGTCAAATGAGTTCTGATCTATGAAATGCTTCAAACAGCACCTGTTTGCTGCTGTTAGTGAGTGAGGATGCTCTTTGGAACACATCAAGCTCTTCTCTGACTCTGCCAGATTACTGTCCTCTAATTCCTGCACGAATCCTGACAATTCTCTAAATAGCTTGTTCATGTATTAGTTTGTTCACTCTCTGCCCTCTCTAGAATGGACATGCCACAAAGGCAGAGATTAGGACCCAAGTTCAAGTTCTGCTCTGGCCAGATTTGCCCTGGGACCTTCAGCAAATCACTTCCCTCTATGACCCTCATTTTCCTCACCTAGAAAATCAGGATAATAACGTCCATCTCATTGAGTGTTAATGGGATCACGTGGCTAAAGCACTTGGCATACAATCTCACTAAAGGCGGCAACATTCTTCTTATCCTTTTAAGCCCTGATGCTTCCACATTGGCAAGGCTACAAGGCTATACAATCTCTGGATATAGCTATCATATGGCACAGCAGTTAAGAGCACAGTCTTTGGAATCAGACAAATCCAACTTCAAATCTAAGCTTGACTCTCTAATTTGCTGTGTGACTGTGGGCCAATGTGCTCACCTTTCTGAGCTCGTTTCTTCCTTTCTAACACGGAGTAATCTATACCCTACCGGGTTGCTGGGAAGACGGAATAAATGTGATCAAGCCCTAGCAAGTTAGGCTCAGTAGGCAGAGCCTGGGCCTGCAGGCTGAAGGGTCCCGGGTTTGATTCCGGTCAAGAGCACATACCTCGGTTTCAGGCTCGATCCCTAGCCCTGGTCAGAGCATATGCAGGAGGCAACCAATCGATGTGTCTCTCTCACATCGGTGTTTCTCTCTCTGTCTCCCCCCCTTCCTTCCACTCTCTCTAAAAATCAATGGGAAAATATCCTTGGGTGAGGATGAAATACTAGTAAATAAATAAATAAATACAAGCAAGAGCCCAGCTCTGGATTCAGACAGAACTGGGTTCGACTCCAGCTTACTAGACTGAGTACTCGTGTGAAGGATTTCACCTCTCTGGGTCTGCGTCTGAACCCTGCCCACACCGGGAGAATTGCTGGTAGTGTTCTAGGTAGAAAGGTATTAATTTGTTACTATTTTTAAAGAGCCCTGAATTTTGGAATCTTTACTATGGAAACTGGAATATTGAGAGTTAAACTGAAGTGTATAAAATGCTTAGAAAAATTTCCAGAAGATATTAATATACAACAAATTATTTCTGAACAAATAAACTAATAGCCACTGAAATGTACTATATCCTCATTTTATCACATCATCACTAGCCCTGGGAATTAACCTCTTTTTTTTTTTTTTTTTCAAATTTGGGTGATTTACCAGGCCATTATCACCTCAGAGGTTTGAAATTGTCCATTCTTGATTTCCACGGTCGAGTGAGTGAGGAAAGGAATGATGGGAAGAACTGTTTTGAGGTACCTGGAAAGACGTGCAGCCCCTACCTGCTGTTGAGATGGTCCTGGCAGGAGAGCACCTCATCTGAACTGGGGTGGCCTCCTTCCACCAGCTCCTGGACCGTGTGGTTCACATCCAGGACACGGCCCATCAGACTGTTCATCTCCTGGTCCAGACTCTCAAATCTGCAGAAAAAGGATGGACATTTTCAGAGAGGCCTAGACCCTGGGGACCTGCCCACTTTTTGGCTTTTATCGAACTGCCTTCTCCCAGATCTTCCAACTCTCCAACCTCACCTGAGTTCCCAGGTTCCTCTGTCAGCTCCTCTTCTTTCTACCTGCTACTTAAATGTCTGATCTTCAGGGCTCTGTCCTGGGCCCTCTGCGCTTTCCCTCACACCCTGCCTGGACCATCTCACCCTCTCCCCAGCCTCAGTCCTCATTCCCAAACTTATGACCCCCACATCTCAGTCTCCTGTCCCAACCTCTTTCCTTTTGAGCTGTCTCCAACCTCAAAGCCTGCTGTACACCTCTTTGGGGTCCTTACTCCCAGTGTGACTCAAACTCACTTCAGTATCTCCCCCCAGCTTGGTACTTCCTCTGGGTCCCCATCTCAGGAACAGCCCCACTACCCACCAGGCCAGAGCCCTGGGCCCTGTTTTGGACAACTCCCCACTCCCAGCCTGTCCATCCTCATGGCCTGTCCACTTGGGTTCCTGCCCTGGTCTAGTCCTGTCCCCTCCCACCTGGGTCCCCACCCCAGCTGCCTCTTTGGGCTCCCAGCCACCACTGTCACCCCCTCAAACCCACCCTCCATATAGCAGCCAGGAAGATCTTTTAAAGCTGGACAGGTCCTCCCTTGTTTAAAACAATACCCAAAGCGCCCTAGCCGGTTTGGCTCAGTGGATAGAGTGTCGGCCTGCGGACTGAAGGATCCCAGGTTTGATTCTGGCCAAGGGCACATGCCCGGGTTGTGGGCTCTATCCCCAGTAGGGGGCATGCAGGAGGCAGCCAATCAATGATTCTCTCTCATCATTGATGTTTCTCTCTCTCTCCCTCTTCCTTCCTCTCTGAAATCAATAAAGAAATATATGAAATAAAACAATACCCAAAGCTGTGGCACAGGTAACTGGGCACAGTAAGGACAGGGGCCTGACCTGTGTTCCCAGCAGTGCCCAGCACAAGGCCTAGAACAGAGCAGCAGTTCAGAAAGTACCTGCCGAGGGAATGAATGGATAAACAAGGTGCTCAGAGAAAGAGGTGCAGAGGGTTCATCCACTAATTTAGCTCACTCCTGAGTTAGCCAACAGGCGAAGCAGTAGCTACAGGGCGGTAAGTGCTGTGAAGAACCGTAAAGCAGGGCAAGAGAGAGTGGCCAGGGCGAGAGCTAATTTATCGGCGAGGGAGGTGACGTGTACATGGTAGTGGGAGTCCCAGGGGAGGGCCCAGGCTGGGATGGCCCAGGAGAAGCTTGGGCTAATTTTGGGCCAGGTCACTATAAGCCTCTTAGCAGTAACAGCAACAGCTCCTGGAATGCTCCCTGTCCCCAGGCATTTGCTAAGTGTTCTATACTTAGTTGCTCATTTATTGTTCACCACAACTTGTGGGGTTGGGACTATCATTCCCATTGTACTGGAACCCTGATTCCAGCTGGGCTCATACAAGAACTGTTGAACCAGCGAAGGTGATAGGCGAGGAAGAGGACCCTGGAGTCCCACAGTGCGCGCTCACCGGTGCTGTACCACCTCCACGTCGTCGAGTGAGTCGGGGACGCGCATGCCAAGCAGCCATTGCTCCTTCTCTCCGATCCACAGCTCGCACGCGTGCACCTCGCCGAACATGCGATAGACAGCGAGGGCATCCCGCAGCCACTGGCGCCGCAGCGCAGCCATCTCGGTCACCTCCGCGAACAGCTGCTCGGTCTCCACCACGCGCACCTGCAGTGCCACCACCAGTGGCCCGGCGCCGCTAGCGCCCCCCAGTGTCGCCAGCTGACGCCGCAGGCTGGTCACGGGCCCTCGATGCGCCTCCACCTCTCCGGTGAGCGCCCGGTGCTGGCGTGCCAGGCGGCGACTGGACGCCTCATCGTGGCCGAAGTCGCCGGCAGCTGCTAAGCGGTAGGCGTCGCGCAGCCAGTCCAGGAGCCCGTCGAGGTCAGCGCCGAACTGATGCAGCGCCCGCGCCTCCTGCAGCCGCCGCTCGCGCCGCGCCGCCGCCTCTTCCAGCCGCTGCCAGCGCCGCCGCGCACTCGCCGCGCGCTCCGCCAAGCCCACCAGGTGCACCGCCTCGGCGCCCGAGCCCTCGGCGCCGCCGGCCGCAGCCAGCTCCTCGCCGCGTCGCAGGGCCTGCTGCAGCATCGCCCGCCGCCCGCCCAGCTCTCCCTGCAGGATCTTGTGTTGCGCCAGGAGACGCGCGGTGCTGGACAGGTCGTGTGCGCCACCCGCTACGCCCGCCCCGCCGCCGCCGCCGCCGCCGCCGCCGCCCGTCGCCTCTAGGAGGCGCTCCTTGTCGCGGGCCCAGCTCTCGGCCTCCTCAAGCTCCTGAAACAGCGCCCACAGGCTCCTCGAGGCCTCCAGCTCCGCGCGCCGCCGCGCCGCCTGCTCCTGCAGCTCTGCCAGACAGCCGTGCACATGGTTCACGCGGTTGCAGATGACCTGCGGATCGCAGGGCTGGTAGCCTGAGCCAGGAGAAGGGGAGGATCCCGGGTTGGGCTCGGGCAAGAAGGCACCAAAGAGAGGGTGGTGCCAGCTACCTGACCATCCCTTGGCTCAACTTCACCAGGGGCCAGGTTATGGGTCCCCTCTTCCAGGCAGCCTTCCCTGACACCCCGAGTCTGGAGCAGCCGCTTTCTCTGGCTCACCTAGGCTTCTCTGCTCGCCCCCCCCCCCCGTCCTGGCCTTGGGCCGTCTGGGCTATCATTGCCTGATTTGCCTCCCCCACTGGACTGGGAGCTCCTCGAGGGCAGGGCCTGCACTGTCTCATCACACCTCGGTCCCCACCATTGTCCAGCACAGGGTGGAGCCCAGGGCATCAACTTAATGGAAATAGTGACTTGACTGAATGATGGATGGAAACTGAAATTCAGAGGGTCCTGGAATCAGTATATTTTGCATAAACTGTGTTTCCTTCAGAACTAGGTCAAATGAAACTGCTCTACTCTTAAGCCATTTTCTGGGTTCCCTCTCTCATTCTCTGTTGCCTTACCTATTTACCCCCAGTGACGACCTGAATTCCCTTTTTCTTCAAAAGATTCGTTTTCACTCAGCCAGCGTGGCTCCTATGAACCAGGAGGTTATGGTTGGATTCTCAGTTGGGGCACATGCCTGGGTTGTGGGCTCGATCCCCAGTGTGGGGTATGCAGGAGGCAGCCAATCAATTGATTGTTTCTCATCATTGGCGTTTCTATCTCTCTCTCTCCCTCTCCCTTCCTCTCTGAAATCAATAAAAAAAAATTTTTTTAAACTAACTTTCCTCCCTGACCTCTAGTCTATGATCCCAAAACTAATGGGTTGCAGCCAGCATTTCTTTAATGTAATAGCATCAAATGAATAAAAAACATCAGAATCCAATGCACAAGGTAAGGGGTAGCATTTTTAGAAAACATTGGTGTGTGTGTGTGTGTGTGTGTGTGTGTGTGTGTGAACTCTGGGTCATGAGTAAATGCATTTCTGACTGGGTCACAGCACTACGAGATGGAATGTGGATTTCTATAATTCTGGACATTCACAGAAATTGACTCAAATACCAAGGCATCCAACTAAATAATAAATGGAGACAATGTATCCAGCCCAATGTCACAGTGTCCTTTAGTCCTCACAACCACCCCATGAGGTCAGCATCCTTACTAGCCCATCTTACAGATGAAGAAACTGAGACTCAGGGAGGGAAGCTGCTTGCCCAGGATCAGCTAAGACACTCTGGACCACTTGTCAGGCAGTCCTGCCTCCTGTCACCATGACAACACACATCCCCCACTAGCCTGTTTGCTGTTTTCATGGTGCTGCTGGTTGTCACCAAGTACCAAGATCTCACAAGAAGATGGTGGCCTCCTGTGACAAACAGCCCCAAGGTACAGGACAGGGTCCCCTCAACCTCTCCTGCGGTTCTGATGCGGGTGAGAGGGACTGAGCCAGGATTGAGCTGTCTTCACCAGGGCTTAGAAGGACAACTCACTTGCTCTTAGCACGTGACCCAGCCTGTGCCAGTCAGAAACTCTCCCACCATCTTTCAAGCCTATAGGCTCTTCCTTTCCTAACAAAGCTCCAGGATTTTAAAGGGTCCTGACTCCAGATAAAGGAACAAGGCAGATCAGCCTCAAAACCCTGTTATAGGCTCTGCAGCTCTGGGCCTCAGAGCGAAAGAAAAGCAGCTCTGGCTGATGTCAGCGCACACAGGGAGCACACGCAGGGGACAACATCAGACAAGGCACTCTGCAGCTGTGCCCATGTGGGACAAAGTGCGATCACTCCATCCTGATGTCCGGGCACACACAGCCACCCCTTCACCCAGCTAAGGTGGACAATTTCCTCGAATTCCCGAGAAATGATTAGGATGTGCAATCATCACATTGCCCCACTTCCTGACAGCATCCAGTCTGCAGCAAGATACACTACACAAACGCGTCCCAAGTCACTGACACAGGCCACATCCTACCACAAGCCCTTCTTAACAGCCTCTTACTAAGATTCCCCAAGGTCTGTGCAAAGAGCCAACAACCCGGCTTGTTTTGCCTGAGGGGGTTCCTGGTGGTCTTTGGCTGGAGGAAAATGACATCAGTGAATTAGAATTTTAGTAGAGTCAGCCTCAGTTTTGCCTATTGGCATCCATGCCCCTGCTTCTGGCAATGGTGGCCCACCTCCCCTCTCCCAGGCCAAGTCTTTGGAGGGAGCTGACCCCACTCTTGGCCCTGGGGTGGGTACATCACAAAGATGTGGCCAATTAGATCACTGTGTAGTCCAGGGCCACTCTGCTTGTCTGAGCCATGGGGATGGAACCCACCGCGGGCGAATGAAAGCTCCCCCTGGGCCTTTTGTCAGAACTATTGGGAATAGGAGGCCTGGCTCTGCTGGAGTCTGCGGGCTGCTGAAATGTAAAAAGGGCTGAGTGACCCCAGGCCTGCACCACAAGGGAAAGGGCTGCCCAACAGTGACACAAACATAGAGAAGAGAGTCAGAGAGAGAGAGAGTATTAAAAGCAGCATTGAACCACGCCTGGATCCAGCCCTTCCTGAAGCCATCTCACCTCTCGCTGGACATTTCAGTTATATCAGCCAATACATTCATTCCCTCTCCCTCCCTAATGCTCATTGAATTGAGTTTCCATCACTTGCTGGTGAACAGGCCCTGACAATACATTACATTACACAGTCCTTTTATGATATTCATTGCGATCCAGCTGTAAGGGCTTAGCACATAAAAAATGCTCGATAAATGGGAACTATTGCTACAAACTCTCAAAGCAGGAAGAAATCACATGGTTCAACCTCCTACTCAAGGCACTAGTTTCTCTGATGCTATATCCCCGATGGAGTGGGATCCTAGTCTGTGCTTGGATGCTTCCAAAGACAGGGAACTCATTCCTTCCTTCTCCCTCTCAGGAGTCATTCGGCTTCTAATAGCATCAGCTGTGGACGTCTCCTCCCCAAGTCCCAACATCAGACTCACCCTGAAGCTGGGAGAAACGCAGAGCAGCGGCATTGAGGGCCTCCACCCGCTCGCTCTGGGCAGCGATGTCCCCCTCCAGCAGTCCGTGCTTCTGCAGCAGGTCCTCTGCCTCCACCAGGTGCTGCCCACACTCCTGGGACAGCAGCTGAGCCTGTAAGAGGGGCAGCACTGAGGATATTTTTGGCTTTGGCCCTGAGGCCACTCCGCCCGCCCCTGCCCACCACCCCCCATGACCCAGGCAGCCCTCTGCTCTCCTACACCATCACCTGAACTCTGACCTTTGTCTCTGTCCTCACTTCTCTCTCTGAATGTTCCATCGCTCATTGTCTCCACGTTTTGGGGCCCTGGCTGTCACGATGTCTGTCTCCTCCTCTCTGTGCCGTCTCTGTCCTCTCCCACCTCTCTCTGCCTCCACCTCTTTCTCCCTTACACTCTGTCTCCATCTCTCTCTGTCTTTATCTCTATCACTTTATCTCCATGTGTCACTGTCTGTATCTCTCTCTGCTCCCATACTTCTTTTCTCCATCTCTCTCTGTATCTCTCTGTGTGGTCTTTCTCAAGTAGATGCCATCTCCCTGTGCCTTTCTCTGTAGCCATTTAGATTTCCATTGCTAACTTTGTGTCTGCTTCTCTACCACTCTCTCTAGTGCCCCCCCCCTTCTTTCCCCCTGGAATAATCTTTCTCTTTCTGTCTCTATATCTCTGTGTCTTTTTAATCTACTTCTCTCTGTGTCTCTGTCTCTTTCTCTGCCTCTGTCTCTCCCTGTCTCTTTTTCTCTCTTTCTCATGGTCTCCCTTCTTTCTCTCTATCTTTCTGTCTCTCTCTCCTTCCCTCTCCATGTCTCTGGGAGCCCTTTCAGTGCCTAGATCCCTCCCTCCCCTCCGGGCCCACCACGCCCACCCTTGGCCCCAGTCTGGCCCCCACCTGCATCTCCTCCATCCAGTCCACCATGTACACCATCTCCTGGAAGACCTTCTGCAGGGCCAGGTTCTGCTCCAGCCGTGTCCGCCGGGCACCTACCAGCCCGGTCAGCAGGGCCCACTGGCGCAGGACGCTGTCACGCTGGGCTGCCACCCTCCGGGCATCGTAGTAGCCCTCAGTCGCCAGAGCCTGGGCCAGCTCCGCCACGCCCTGCACCCGCTCCTCGTAGGCTGCAATGTCTGCCTCAATCGCCTCGTGTTTCTTCATGGCCGCCTCCACTGCCGGCAGCTCATAGCCAAAGTTGTCCTGGGGCAGGGCAGACCGCAGACACTCACCCACGCTGCCTCAGCAGCCCCGTGTGAACTTGGAAAACTCCCCACCTACTTCCGTTACCCTGGAGACCAGCCCCATCCTTCCCTGTTACATTTCTAATCCTAAACATGTTACCTAGGAAACAGGCCCATCCTTCCATTTCCCTAAAGACTAGGGACCAGGCCTACCCTATCCTGTTACCTAGGAGACCAGTTCTATCCTCCTGCGTTACCTTGGACACCAGATACAACCTCCTTTGTCACTTAAAAGATAATTAAATACTCTCCCTATTTCTGAAAAAATACTAACTCTGTCTTCTCTAGTTACCCGGGAGACTAGCCTCACTCTCCAGTTCCCCTGGATATCAGGCCCTCTCCCTCCAACCCTCCAACACCACCAATCACCCAGGACAGTGATGGCGAACCTATGACACGCGTGTCAGAGGTGACACGCAAACTCATTTTTTTGGTTGATTTTTCTTTGTTAAATGGCATTTAAATATATAAAATAAATATAATAAATGTAAGTCTTTGTTTTACTATGGTTGCAAATATCAAAAAATTTCTATATGTGACACGGCACCAGAGTTAAGTTAGGGTTTTTCAAAATGCTGACAGGCCGAGCTCAAAAGGTTCGCCATCACTGACCTAGGAGAACAATTTTCCCTTCCTACCCTCTTGTCACCTAATCCAAAACTTCTCTGTTGCTTAAGAGATTAAGTCTTGCCTGACCAGCATGGCTCAGTAGTTGAGCGTTGACCTATGAATCAGGAGGTCACGGTTCAATTCCCAGTCAGGGCACATGCCCGGGTTGCAGGCTCAATCCCCAGTAGGGAGCATGCAGAAGGCAGCCAATCGGCGATTCTCTCTCATCATTGATGTTTCTATCTCTCTCCCCCTCTCCCTTCCTCTCTGAAATCAATAAAATATATTTAAAAAGAAAAAGTGTCTTAAAAAAAAATCAAGTCTTTGTCCCTAGTCCCAGAGCATCAGCCCCATCCTCCCTCCCAAGCCCCATGCCCAGTACCTGGGAGACCAGGCGCTGGTTCTCATTCAGCCAGCTCTCCCTCATGGCCACCTTGTGGTCAAACCTCTGGGCCAGGAGTCCCAGCTTCTCCTGCCGCGTCAGCTCCGCCCGAAGGGCAGCCTCCCGCTCATGCTCTGCCTTCTCCAGCAGGCCCCAGGCCTAGGGAACAGAGGGGGCAGGCAGACTCCAGTAACTCTCCTCCTTTAATGGCCCCACTTCCTCTAAGGCAAGCATGTCAAACTCGCGGCCCAAGGGCCACATGCAGCCCACAACAAATATTATAGCAGCCCAGCCAATATAACGGTATGTAAGAAACATTTTAATAAAAATGTCATAACTTAATTTTTACAATATCCTGTTATACATAATTATTAATAACGAACTCAACATTCGCCAATGACTGATTACTATAATCGTGTTGCATTCATTTCCCTTATGCACCTTAGTGCAGGCACACCATTTCTCTCCACTAATACTAGCAGCGAATATGTTAGTTTTGTACTGACTTGTTTGGTGTGCGCAATAGGAAATATTTCGCTTTCGGAGAACAAGAAAAATAGGTTTATTTGCATTACGCTTATTAACTTGTGCAGTTATTCAGTGTCTGGTAAGTTAATGTTCAAGAAAAAATGTTAATTTTTATTAAAATGTTCTTTTATTTTATGTTAACAATTACTCATTTATTTCAGCCCTTTGTATTCAGCATGTCTCTATTGAAATAAACCCACGTTTCTATGAAAATTGAAGCTTTTGTTTTTTTGTGGCCCACATAAAATTAAACCTTGTTTATTTGGCCCGTGTTAGCCTTTGAGTTTGACATGCTTGGCCTAAGGTCATGCCTAGGACTAATGGCACTTTTGTGCAAATTAGAAAAAACACGCTGCTTCCTCATGACCCGTTACTGCTGGAAAACTGTCAGAATGAATATCCGATCCACAATGCCTACATGGGAATGGCTCCCCTGAGCAGGGAACACCCTACACAACTCCACAGAGCAACGCTGCCTCCCACACCCGCAGCCTCACCTTGTCGATATCCCAGATGCCACAGCCCTCCCGGGGCACGTAGAGGCGGCGGTTGCAGGCACGCAATTTGCTCTGGATGCTGAAGAGCAGCACCTCCAGGTTCCCCTTCTCCTGAAACCTGAGGGTGCTTGAGCTCAGGAGCCCGCCCCCACACCTCCACCTGCTGCCCTCCCTCCCAAGCTGGGCCTCACTTGGCGGGCTTCTCCAGGGTGCAGTAGGCCATGAAGGCCTGCAGCTGCTGCTGCACCCCGCTCAGGGAGTTGGCGAACTTCTGGTTGCTGATGAGGCCCACAGTGCGGCGGATCCAGGCCAGCAGCTCGGTCGCCAGCTCCTCGTAGCGCTCAATGATCTTCTCCACCTCCAGCACCTGGTCCAGGACCTGGCCCACACGGGAAGCTGGGTCAGCCTCACGCAGGTCTGCCCATGGGATGCCCAGGCTCCCACCCACCCCATTCCTCGGTTCCTCATACCTTCCCAATCCGCTTCCCCTCCACAGCCAGAGCCTTCATCTTGGAGAAATAGTGGTAGAAAGAGACCACATAGGTGATGATGGACTTCTCATCCGGAGCCTCCATGTTGACATCTGGGGGGTAAGAGGAAGTGGGGGAGCATGACAGTGAGCATTCGAGCAGAGGGATAGATGGTATTGGGGCGGGAGGGAGAACCCACTCTTTTAAAAAAAATTACTGATTAATTTTAGAGAGAGAGAGGACGAGAGAGAGAAATAAACATCGATTTTGATGTTCCACTTAGTTGTGCATTCATAGGTTGCTTCTTGTACATGCCCTGACCAGAGATCGAACCCACAACCTTGGTATAGCAGGACAACGCTCTAACTAACTGAGCTACCGGCCAGGGCAAGAACCCACTAGCTGTGTGACCATGGGCAAAATAACCAACCTCTCTCTGTTCCTTAATTTTTGTATTTGACAAATGGGGACCTACCTCATGGGATTAATAGTGCCTGACACATATAAACCACAATAGAGAAAGTATCTATTATTGTTATCATTTTCTTTTTTGTTAACCCTCACCAGAGGATATTTTTTTCCATTGATTTTTAGAAAGTGTGGAAGGGAAAGAGAGAGAGAGAGAGGAATAGGTGTGAGAAAGACACATTGATTGGTTGCCTCCTGCATGCTTGGGGAGCAAACCTGCAACCCAGGTATGTGCCCTTGACCAGAATCAAACCTGCAACCCTTCAGTGCTCGGACTGATGCTCTAATTACTGAGCTCACCAATCTACCTTCCACCTCAGGACCTTTGCACACACTATTCTTATATTCTTATTGTCTGGAACACTGTTTCCTCTTCTGTGTGCCTAACTCCCACTCATCCTCCAGGGCTCAACTCAAATTTGCTCAGACAAGTCTCCCTGTTCATCCTGTCTAGAGTTGGTCTCTTGTCATTCTTCCTCAGAGCATCTTATCATTTCCCCCTAGTTCCTTCCAAATTTCTTATCATAATTTGCAATTAGATATTCACTTATGTGATTATGTCCTTATCTGCAGTTTGAGCTCCAGGAGCAGATGGACTATGCCTGTCTTCTAACCACTCTCCCCGCTATGCCCAGAACAGTAGGAGCTCAATAAATATTTACTAAGTGAATGAGTGGTTTATGAGGTTTGAGGTTAAGGACATGGCATTTGGAGGCAGCATGAGCTTGAATCCAAGTTCAACCACGTACTGCATGGTCCTTAGAAAATAGACCTGCCCGGCTGGCATAGCTCAGTGGCTGAGCGTCAACCTATGAACCAGGAGGTCACGGTTCAATTCCCAGTCAGGGCACAGGCTCAGGTTGCGAGCTCAGTCCCCAGTGCGGGGTGTGCAGGACGCAGCCGATCAATGATTCTCTTTCATCATTGATGTTTTTATCTCTCCCTCCCTTCCTCTCTAAAATCAATAAAAATATATTTAAAAAGAAAGAAAGAAAATAGACCTAACTTCTCTAAGCCTCAGTTTTCCCATTGCTACAGCAGGGACAGTCACAGTGCCTGCCGCCTAGGAAGACTGTAAGTATTATAAAGACTAGCTGCCACAGAAGGAAAACTCAACAAATTCTAATGACCATTTTAATTAATGCATGGAACGCGCAACATTATACACAGCCCACCTCGTGAAACTGATGTTCACTACACACCTACCATGTGCTAGGCACTGAGCACTAAATACAGCTGTACAGGGCAAGCAGAGGAATGATTAAGACCATGAAGTCTGGAATCAGAAGTCCTGTTTACTGGTTTTCAGTGTGACCCTGTGCCAGTGACTTCACATCTCTCACCCTTTAGTTTTCATCGCTTTAAAACAGGATTAATCAAGTTTGTCCAACCAGGTCAGTGTGAGGATGAAAGGGAACAGTTTTGATCAAATTCCCAGCCATGTGCTTGGCACGGAGTAGATGCTCAGAAGAAGAGAGCAGCTGCTATTCCAGAGGTGGGGGATTGGTGTGGAGTGTGACGGTGGGGTGGGTCGGGGATGAGGCTGAAGTCTGGGCTGGGGCTAGGGATGGACTGAAAATAGGAATGGGCTGGGGATAGGTATGAGGTAGGAAGTGAGATTCATGGATGGGAAGAGGGATAATGTTGAGAAGGGCTTTGGGGTTAGGGATGGGACAGTGTTGGAGTTGGGTATGTGTTGGGTCTGGGGTTAGGGAGGGAGGGATGGGTTTGAGGGGAGATGATTGAAGATGGATTTGAGAAAGGGGAGATAGAAATGGAAATGGGTTGGGGTTTAAGATGGAGATGGAGAAAGTAAGTGACGTGGGGATGGGCAGGGGGAGGGGATGGAGGTGGGGAGGGCAGGGGGCTGGGAGGGAACTTGGGATTTGGGGTGGTGTTGGGGTAGAATGGAATAGAGTTTGGGATGGCATTGGGGATAGCAGCCCCAAAGAGGGAATCAGGACTGGGGTCATGCAAGGCTCACCTTCAGGGTCCAGCAGACGTGCCAGCCCCAGGTGCTGCTCAGCCGTGCGGAAGGCTCTCTGCAGGTTGTAGTTGGTGTTGGACTTGGTGAGTTTGCTGAAGTCCACGAGATCGGGCCTAGGCAGGGGCACAGAGTGGGCAGGCAAGAGGCAGGCTCCAGAGCCAGTGAGCAAACAGGCAAAAGTCATCCTTGTGTGAGTCCCGCCCAGGGTGAGGGCGGGAGGGGCATGGCCCCAGCAGGGAAAGCTGTGCATGCTGGCACGTGTTTGCGCAGCACTTACGGTGGGCGTGAGTATTGCAGGTGTGAGGACACGTGTCTGTCAGACTTCAGGGTGCACACGGTCTGCTTGAGTGTGCTTCTATGCAGTGCTATGCAGTGGTTAGAAGTGTGAGGGCTGCAGCCAGCCTGCCTGGCTCACACCCCAGCTCAGCCACTTCCTGGCTGTCATCTGGGTGAGCTACTTCATCTCTCCGTGCCTCCGTTTCGTCATTCTCATTTGTAAAATGGGGATAGTAATAGCATCTGCCTCATAGGGTCACTGACTATTCAATGACTTATTGGAAAGCATTTAAAACGATTCTGGGTACACAGAAAGCACTCAATACGTGTTACCACTGTAAGCTGGGCACCATTACAACTTGTGAGTTTCTGGGTGTGTAGGTGCAGCTGGGTCTCCCCTTGTGTAGACGAGTGTGTGTGTATGGGTTCTGGCTTCTGCCACACCAAAGTCCCTCCCAGCCCCCTAGTCTCAGTTTCCACAATCTGTCACGTGGATGGTCATCATGTGGGTGCCCACCGCTCAGCCAGGTCTGTGAGGCTCTGAGGTATGACTGGATGGGTGTGCACGGGGCCAGAAGGGCTCTCTGGGGTGCACCAAGAGAAAGGACTCTGATGGGAGAAGCTGCTGTGCACACACTCAGGTGGACCGTCCACGGAGGAGTGAACTCTCCACCCTGGGGACAGCAGGCACAGGCTGTGTATGTCCTGAGTGTCTGTGTGCACACATCTGTGTGAAGG